CTTGAAACAGCTCTTTGCTTGCCTTGATTTAGATAATACTTCAAACCTCAGCTTAAATGTCCCCTTTTCAGAGTTCTCTTTTCTCCATGATCTGTTTTTCTCATAATATCACTTAACTACTTTGGATTTGTAGCAATTGGTTTGTGTGCATATTGATAATTGATCTCCTCCATTGGGCTGCTGATTCCAAAGAGTTACTCTCTTGTATTTCCAATGCTGGAGTCCTGGTGAGGTGCTGTGGGTTAATGCGCTGGACTGCAAGGTCGGATTAAACCACAAGGTCGGCAGTTCAAGCTCACCAGCTGTTCCTCGGAAACACTGTACAGGGTCACTATGAGTTGGAATCGACTTGACAGCACTTAACAACAACAACAATGACAATGCTGCATCTCCAAGGTCCTAGTACTGTGCCTGACACATTGGTTGGTTGGTTATATGCTGTGGAGTTGGTTCTAACTCATAGAGACCCTTGGTAGGGTTTCTGAGGTTGCAAATCTTATGGGCACAGAACACCTCATCTTCCTCCTGCAGAACAGCTGTTAGTTTCAAACTGCTGACCTTGAGCCCAACTCATAACCACTACACACATTGTTGTTGTTAAGTGCCATTGAGTCGCTTCTGACCCATAGCAACCTTATATAGGGTTTCCAAGAAATAGGTAGTGAGCTTGAACCACCTGACTTTGCACTTCAAATGACTTTTCAGTCTGACACATTTGCCCACAGTGCCACACCAGGACTCCATTACACATATAGTACGTGCTTAATAATTTTATCAATTAATATAAATAATAAAACATTTCAATAAAACTTGCTAGCTCACCAGCTACTCCTTGGAAACCCTACACAGGGTCACTATGGGTCGGAATTGACTCAACAGCACTTAACAACCACAACAACCTGCTTTAAACTATGCTTGGTACATGAATGCACCTCCCTTTATTCTCTTTGTATGTCATCCAGGCATGACAAATTAACCTGCGCTTGCTTTTATGTGTATGTGCTCACACATGAAGCTGTGTTATTGGGTAAGGGGTAGGGTGGAGTTAGGAAGCTCCTTTGTTTCTTTTCATATTCTCCTTCCTGTGATGGTCCATCTTGTTTAGTTTTCTACAGTTTTCTCTTGGTACCAATGTTCGTACTTTAAAACACTGTTAACATATTCATAATAAATTCCTTTCAACATCCAGAAACCCAATTGAGATATTATTACTACAGTTGATTTCTTCTAGACTTAAGACATGGTCTTTATTCATTTTTCACTTCTTAAAAAATGTGTACTATATTATGTGGTGGTTGTTGTTAAATACTGTCGAGTCAATTCCGACCCATAGCGACCCGGTATAGGGTTTCCGAGGATAAGCTGGTGAGCTTGACCCGCCGACCTTGCAGTTCAAACAGACTTGAAGCCTGGCGCGTTAGCCCACAGTGCCACACCAGGACTCCATATATTATATGGTAAGCATTATTTTAGGTGCTGGAGATAAAGAAATGAATAGACAGAATCCTTGCTTTCAATTGGTTCAATGTATTTCTGCAAAAATGGTGTGTGGACCATGCCTGACATCCTGTGACTACACAAAGAATGAGAATCAAACTCAAGATCAGTCCAACACAGATTCCTATAAAATCTATGTATGAGAAGCTATGCAATTCCTATGTATGAGGCAAAGGTCACACATATCTCCACTTTCCAACTTTATTTGATTCTGACACCAACCAACCAACCATCCCTCCCACTACACTCTACTTCTCTGCTGGGTTCCATAATCCATTGCATTAGCCACAGTGAACTCAGAAACAATACTCACATCTTTGGGGTTAATTAGGGAAATGATTCCGGATTCAGCAGGTCTCTGGTCAAGAACTCCTCTTCTCTGCTATACTGCAGGCTGGTCTCTCTCTTGTCCTTGGTCTCTCAGACATGTGGCCCCTTGACCTCTGCCCTGTTTCAGCAAATGTTACAAAGCTCCTTTAGTGCTGTCTGTAAATGCTCAAAGGGCACATTCTATAAGCCAGCCTCCTGCCTGCAGGAGTTCTGTCTCTCCAGGCTGCAGCCTCTGAAACTGCTGCTTTTCTGAGTTGTTGTTGTTGTTGTTAAGTGCCATCGAGTCGGGTCCGACCCATAGCGACCCTGTACAGGGTTTCCGAGGGTGTAAATCTTTACGGGAGTAGAAAGCCTCATCTTTCTCCCGCGGAGCAGCTGGTAGTTTCGAACCGCTGACCTTAAGGCTCGCAGCCCGATTCGTAACCACTACGCTACCAGAGCTTTTCTGAGTAGGAATCTCAAATTCCATTCATGGTTCTTCTTTCTTTTGTCTCTGCTTCTGAGACATTGGTCTCTGCTTCTGAGATGTTTCCTTTTAAAGTTAGTGAGATGACAAAACGAATCAATCCCCATGTTAGAGTCCTGTACACACTATCTGTGTTGTTGTTGTGTAGTGCCATCGAGTCGATTCCAACCCATAGTGACCCTATGTAGGGTTTCCAAGGAGCAGGTGGTGAGCTTGAACCACTGACCTTGCAATTCAAACAACTTTGCAGTCTGACGCATTAGTCCACAGCGCCACACCAGGACTCCCATTATCTGTGTAGTCCCACCTAATCATTGGGAGTACAGTGGCTTTGTAGGATAAGTACTGGACTGTGAACCACAAGGTTGGCGGTTCGAGCCCACCAGCTGCTCTGTGGAAAAAAGATGAACATTTCTGTTCCCACAAAGTTTTATAACCTTGGAAACATTATACAGGGTTGCTATGAGTTAGAAACGACTCAGGTAGCATTTAACAACAGCAACAGCAACCCAATCATTTGGTGCGAGTTTAGAAGATTTTGGATGGAAGAGCCGTATCAAGTAAATTCAGTGTACCACAGTTTCTAATGAGATCATCAGTATGAACCAAGTGCTGGGGGAAAGCAGGATAAGATTCAGGGTTGACACTTAGAGTGGCCCTTGGATGGGTGAGCATTTGTTGGAGAAGGAGGTGAGATGGAACTTTGGGTAACTTATACTTACTTCTGTAGGTATCTGGTTGATTGGGATTTGATATAAATTCTGGTACCTTGTTATTTCTTAGTCTGCTTAACTCTTCAGCTGAGGATCCCAGTGTTTCACCCTTAGTTCTTCTACCTAAAGGGAAGGAGGAAGGCTGCTTTAAGTCCTGATAGCAAGTACACTCTTAGCCTCTGGGTTGTTGTGACAAAAATGCCCAGATGTTTCAGGGAAGTAGAGTCTGAAAAGTTATGGCACCTTGGCCAACTTGATTCTGAACCATTGGTCTTTATGCAGTTCGGTCCATCACATTCCCATTTCTTTGAAAGCTTAGATAGATCTTAAAGAAAGAGTTTGACTTATGATGATTTGTTGCTTACAATGAAGAGAGCCCTTGAAACTGACAATGACTGAGCTTTGTTGAAAATTCAGAAAAACTGCTCAACAGGTGGTAGAAGTGAGAGGAAGGAAGACACAAACTACGTGGTAGTTGAGTGTAATTGTGGAGGACTTTCTTTATAGGTAGGGAAATAAGGATTTTATATTTAGGAAGTGTGGATAAACTAAATGCCACTTTACAGTGCAAAATAATGAGAATAGAGATTGGTATATTGTGGGAAAATACAATTTGATAGAGAGAAACAACGTGGGGTTTGGTGTAATTCCAGCAGATGAATAAAGAGGGTGAAAAGAAAGACTTAAAAATTTTCTTTGTTCTTTACTTTTTAGTATGAATGATTTTTACCTAGTCTAGTAGCAATAGTCATTCTGTAATTTCTTATAAGGGTTTCTAGCATGTTTTTGCATTCAGGTTCTCTTTTATATGTGCAATATCATCAGAATGCAGATGTCTGATGATGCAGTCTTGTTTATGTTGTATTTATAGGCTTGTCAAAAGCACCCTAGAAAACCTGTGCCTTGATTTAGAAAGCCTGTCAATTTTGAAAAATCTGTCTTTAGTTACTGATTTCTTTTACAGTCTGGCTGAAACTGAAAAGACTTTTGAAGAAACTAAGAACAGATTGGCCATATCCCTTTTGGCTGCAGAGGAGGAAATAAATCAGCTAAGAAAGCAGTAAGGAAAAAACCCAAAACATTGCAGCCTCTGATGAATCTTTGAGTTTAGCTGTTTTGGTGCTCCATTACAATATGACAGATTTTTGGTCACATGCAGAAAGGAAAGGCAGCAATATTTTAATTTATGTTTTACATAATTATTTCCTTATCTCTAAACATTACCTAGGTATCATAGAAAGTTTTCAAAGGAAAATATAAAGGAATCTAAAAAAATCATCTCATGATTCCAGAGCCAATGACCACTTTGATATTTCTTCCCATGCATATATTAAAAGCAATGTTAAGACTACAGAAGGAAAAATATAAGCATGCAGTTTCGGACCCTACTTTTTCGCTTAATGCAGTTTTCTTTTATCGCTGAGAAAAAGTTCGTCAGAACCTAGTTTTAAAATAAGTACATAATGTAGGCATTCCCCTAAGATTGGTTATTTAGTTTGATAATTAATTTTCAACATTAAAACAATATGATAATTGCTTTTGTGGCAAATCTTAGTTCGAATTTGAGATTATCCCTTAAAGATAAACTTCTAGAAGGGAAGTGAGCCATTTGCTTTTTCTGGAATGAAAATTATTTCCCTAGAGTTCTGGTGTGACACTGAGGATAAAGCACTGAACTGCTAATGGCAAAGTCAGCAGTTTATACCCACCAGCTCCTCCTTGGAAACCCTATACAGGATTGTTGTGAGTCAGAACCAAGTTGACAGCACTTAACAATGACAACAATATGCATATAGAATAACTGTTCAGAATATAAACCTTATGTTCAAATTTTGTGGAGCTTTAATTACTTTTAACAATGGATCAGCTGATGAATCTAAAATACAGAAGAGAAGGAGGAAACGGAAGGATAATATGGTGTCAAAGAGATAAAGAAGAAGGGGAGGGGAGGGGAGAGAAAGAAACCGAAAGTTAAACACTTCCTTAAAACAAATGTATAAAGAAACGTTGAGAATAATATCAAAGATAAAAGAGGCAAGAATTTAAATTGCAGAACAAAGAACTGACATTGAAAAACATCCTTAGGGACAAAGATAGATGTTGATAAACCAAGAACAATAAATCCAATATGTATAACAGTATGTTGTTGTGTGCTGTGGAGTCAGTTCTGACTCATAGTGACCCTGTACAGGGTTTCCGAGACTGTAAATCGTTACAGGAGCAGAAAGCCTCATCTTTCTCCAGTGGAACAGCTGGTAGTTTTGAACTGCTGACCCTGAGGTTCACAGCCAGATTCATAACCACTACGCTACAGTATGATATGATATAAATATCACATCACATAGTTTTGAAATAACATAAACAAGACTTGATAGAAGTTTAAGGAAAAATAGATAAATCAGTAATCAAAGCTGGAGATTTTTAACATACAACTAACATATATATAAAGTGAATATGTTGCTGTTGAGTGCCATCGAGTCAATTCTTGACTCATAGTGACCCCGTGTGACAGTAGAACTGGCCCATAACCAAGTCAAAACAGAATCTTCAACAAATTCCAAAATTTCAACATTATACAGTTTCTTTAACTATGATGGACTAAAATTAGGAATAAATAGCCACACTTTCCACATTTGGAAATGACCAAAGACCTGCTACTAAATGTTGTTAAGTGCCCTTGAGTTGTTTCTGACTCATAGTGACCCTATATAGGGTTTCTGAGGAGCAGCTGGTGAATTTGAACTCCTGACCTTGTAGTTCAAACCCACCTTGGGGGCCAGTGCTTAGCCTACTTCATCACACCATACGTATTGAACGAAGGACATGAGATACACTGCTAAATAAAATGTGCTGATTGGCAATGGGACTTCCGCAGGAAGTTCTTTCTTCTGTTCTCTTTTATATTCCATTGATTTCTGCCCTTTATTTATCCCTTTCGGTTTATGCTATTGTTCTTCTCTTGCTAAAAATATTTAAGTAGCTCACACTTGGAAAATACGAATGCAATAGAAAAGCTTCAAAACAGAGAGAGAGAAAGAAAAGATGCATCTCAGAAAATACAATATGTAAAAAGATCGCTAATAATAATGCAAAATCATGTTTATTGAATTTGTATTACATGCCAACCATTGATCTTAGCTCTTTTAATTGAATTAATATAATTTCCACTAAGAGATTGTTGTTGTTAAGTACCATAGAGTTGGTTCCAACCCATAGCAACCCTGCATAGGGTTTTGGAAGAGCAGCTGGTGAGCTTGAACCACTGATCTTGCTGTTCAAACCCACTTTGCAGTCCTGCCCGTCAACCCACAGCGCTACACCAAGACTTCCACTAAGGGATAGGTATGGATATAAAAAGAAAATTCTAAAAGGGAAAATAAATATTGATTCTATAAGATTATAACTTCTTTATTCTTAATTTTGATTGTTTCTTCTAAAAAGAGCAGGTGAGTGTACATTTCTTTTAGAAAAAATAATTACCTGTCAATTTCTATTGCCGTCATACATGTTCCAACTGTTCTATTTCTTCAAGAACAGCCATAAATATTAAATTGCAACTCTGCTCTGTCCTCTACTTCGACGTTCCCTTTCGTTATTTAGTATGTCTTTTCAAATCATTGTTCATATCATATTGATTTCCTAAGCACCGATTCTGCTCTTTATCATTTCTAGTACAGCTGTAAAATTTGCCATCACATTTTTTAGCTTCTCTCCATCCTTTCAAATTTTACCCATTCTCTTTTCATCTTAAATACCATTGTTAATTTCATTGCAGCATATTCTTTTTAAGACGTTCTGCTCTTGTTTTATAGTGTGCCATGCCTTTTTAAAAAAAATCATAAAATATAGATGCCAGCGTTATTTCTAAAGTTCTTTTTGCTTCTGTCTGAACAACATTGTCTTTAGAGATCCCCGCTTTTCACCGAGTCTTGTGCATGTTATTCGATTCCCACTGTACTTTTCATCATATTCCATCTGTTCAAGGAATCTTGCTGGTGCAGTGGTTAAGCACTGGCTACTGGCAGGTCTACAGTTCTAACTCACCTCAGGCGAAAGGTGTGGCAGTCAGCTTCCAGAGAGATTTACAGTCTTGGAAACCCTCTGGGACACTGGGACATCTCTACTCTGCCCTAGAGAGTCACCAGAGAGTCTCTGTGAGTTTGACTTGACTTGATGGCCTTTTTTTTTTTAAGTGCCTGTCTGTTCAGATAATCAAAGAGCCAGTGAGGCTAGAAGATTGTATTTTAGGCCAGCTACTAGACTAAGTGTCAGAGGTTAATTGCTTTCAGATTGTTGTGTAGTTACAGTCAATATAATATTAAATGGTATGAGTAGAGACCTACTATGCTTTCAACAGAGGATCAGCATGAACATTCTATATTCAGGAACCATTTTGGGTGAAAACTGCAGACCCACAGGGCACCCCTGACCTCTAGCAGTTCTGTCTTTAAAAAAAAACAAAAAAAACTGGTTTTATTTTATTTTTTTTTTGTGTGTGTGTGTGTGAAAATGTACACAGCAAAAGATACACATTGTAACCATTTCTGCACGTGCAATTCACTGAACACTGATTGCATTTTCAAGTTGTGCTATCTTTTTATAAATTATTCCACTAGTTATTAACACCAACAATTAATATAAACTCACTGCCCCCTAAACTTCTCGTCTCACTTTCAAATTGCTGTTGCCAATTTGATTCCACATAAGGTAATTCTTTAAAGGAGCACAAAATTCAAGACAGACATACTAATTACACTAAACAATTGATTGGTTCAAAGAAGACTTCAGGGAATAGTTTTGGTTTAAGGGGTTTGAAGTTTAAAGATGATCTCAAAACAATACTGCTGGAATCCACCCTCATTGGCTTCAGAAAGTCTGGGTTCCACACTAATGTGAGATTCTGTTTTGCATTTCCCCTCCTTTGATCAGGATTCATCTGTAGAAACTTTTAACAAAACGTTCAGTAGTGGCAGCTTGGTCAGTATCCAGTTCTTTTGGTCACATGACAATCTGTCAGTTCTGATTTGCTAATTTGGGTTTGTTCATATACCCAGCAGTTTTCTAATTCAACAATGGAATAGTAGCTACAGTGAGCTTTGTTGTTAAACATGTCAACTGTTGCTTATTTATTTCCTGCTCCCCTTCCTTCTCTTGTCTCCCTCTTTCCCGCTCTTTCTTTGTTTCCCTCCCTCCCACCTTTTTCCTTTCCTTCTTTTTCTTCCTTCCTGCTCTCTGCCCCTCTTTCTCTGTTCAGGCTTAAATCTCTTCAATCCCAAGAGGAATCCCGCCACAGGAACTCGGTTGACCACTACTCTGACTACCGGGGTGGAGAGCGGGGTAGGAACATAGACCTGCGGAGCGTAGACCAGAGGGGCTCAGAGACACGGGGTTCGGAATCTCGGGCCTCAGAACCACGGGGCCTGGAACCTCGGGGCTCAGAATCACGGGGCTCAGAGTCACGGACCACCGACCTGAGGAGTTTGGACAGGCGAAGCACAGAGCAGCGGAATCCAGAAGTGATATCTGACTATGAGAAACAGCTCCGAACGCTCAAGGACGAGATCGCTGTACTGTCTGCTGAAAAGAATGTACTTCAAGGAAGGTCTGACCAATTCTCTCCCATCTTTTTACTTATAGTTCCTTTTGATAGCTAATTGGTAGAGTTAGTGGTAAAAGCTGGGCTTGGGGGTGGGGGTGGGGAAAGAAGTAAAATGATGCCTTGAGCCCAAACCGAAACAATATGGAAAGCTCTGAATCATAAAGGGATTGGTTTCTCTGAGAGCATCATTTAGAGAAAGGAAGCGCCTCCTGGACTGTCTGTGTTGGAACACTTACTGATTTTGAGCTGACGTTGAAACAAAAAGAATGAATTTGAGAGACAGTGGAAGGAAAACTTTATGGCATAAAAACCAGATTTGAGTGGGCATATAATACAAGTGTTGGTACCCATATTGAAAAACATGTCCTTTAATAGTAGGTTCATTTTCTCTGAGTCTTTCCAGGGTGATTATATTGTTAGTCCATAGTACTATCAGGCATTGTTTTTATATCTAACTTTGTTTAATGGAGTGAGCAGATAACTGTGCTTGTGAAATTCCTTTCTACTGATGGATAGAACATGAAGACAGGTGATTAAGAGATTTTAGAGAGGACAAGGGGAGAATGGTGGCTCCCTAGGATAAGCACTAGACTGTGAACCACAAAGTTGATGGTATGAGCCCACTAGCTGCTCCATGGGAGAAAGATGAGGCTTTCTGCTCATATTTCTGTCTGCAAAGGTATTAAAATCATCAGAAATCCCATGTAGGGTTGCTGTAAGTTGGAACTGACTCAATGGCAGTTAACAACAACAGTGATGAGTAAGTGGGATGTTTCTCTTTAGAGGCAACATTTTCCTTGCTCTTAACATCTCCATGACAGAAAACTGCCAGAATTTCAAGTCAGATTCAGAAGAGGCCGTGGAATGAGAGACATCATTGCTGATGTCCTATGGATCTTAGCTGAAAGCAGAGAATATAAAAAAGATGTTTACCTGTGCTTTACTGACTATGCAAAGTCTTTTTTGATTGTGTGGATCATGACAAGCTATGGACAACATTGCAAAGTATGAGTATTCTGGAACACTGAATTGTGCTTATGAGGAATCTGTACCTGGACCAATAGGTAGTTGTTCGAGCAGAACATGGGAACACTGGTTGATTTAAAATTAAGGAAGGTGTGCAACAGGGTTATATTCTTTCACCATACTTATTCAACCTGTATGCTGAGCAAATAATCAGCTGGGTTATATGAAGAGAAACGTGGCATCAGGATTGGGGGAAGATGCATTAACAACCTGCGATATGCAGATGATACAACCTTGCTTACTGAAAGTGAAGAGGACTTAAAATACTTACTGATGAAGATCCAAGAGCATAGCCTTCGGTATGGATTACATCTCAATGTAAAGAAAACAAAAATCCTCACACCACTGGACCAATAAGCAACATTCTTATCAATGGAGAAAAGATTGAAGTTGTCAAGGACTTCTTTCTCCTTGGATCAACCATCAACATTCATGGAAGCACCAGTCAAGAAATCAAACGCATTGCATTAGGAAACCCTGCCACAAGACCTTTTTAAAGTGTTGAAGAGCAAAGATGTCAGCTTGAGGACTACGGTGCGCCTGACCCAAACCATGGTATTTTCAGTGACCTCATATGCATGTGAAAGCTGAACAGTGAATAAGGAAGACCATAGAAGAATTGATGCATTTCAGTTATGGTGTTGGAGAGAATATTGAAAGTGCCATGGGTTGCCAAAAGAACAAACAGATCTGTGTTGGAAGAAGTATAGCCAGAGTGCTCCTTGGAGGCCAGGATGGCCAAACTTGGTCTATGTACAGATTCCTCATGAGCACAATTAAGTGTTCTGGAATACTCATACTTCTCAATGTTGTCCATAGCTTTCTGTGATCCACCCAATCAATAGCCTTTGTGTAGTCAATAAAGCACAGGTAAACATCTTTCTGGTATTCAGAGCTTTCAGCCAAGAGCCATCTGATGTCAGCAATGATATCTCTCGTTCCACGGCCTCTTGTGAATCCAGCTTGAACCTCTGGAAGCCCTCTGCCAATGTATGGTTGCAGCCGTTTCTGTGGTTAAGTGCTGGCTGTTAATCAGAAGGCTGGCAGTTCAAACCTACCAATCACTCCCTGCAAGAAGGATGTGAGAGTCAGCTTCCTCAAATATCAGTCCCCCTCCCCTCAAAGCTCAGTGCCATTGAGTAGATTCCAACTCATAATGTCCCTATAGAGAGTTTCTGTGGCTGTTCATCTATATGAGAGCAGTCTCATCCTTCTCCCGAGGAGCAGCTGGTGGTTTTGAACTGTTGACTTTCTGGTTCACAGCCCAACTTGTAACCTACTACGCCGCCAGGGTTTACCATCTTGAAAACCGTATGAGGTTTCTATTCTGTTCCTTAGAGTAGCTATGAGTTGGAATCGACTCAACAGGCTTATTTGTTTTTTTTTAATTCCACAGTCAAGACAGGTAAAAAATTATGTAGGGGACAATTGAAGCTTTGGAGAGAACTTATCCAAGTCCCATTGACAGCATGGTGTTACAAGGCTGAGGTCGAGGGTCTTCCTTATTATTCAATCCGTTTTCATTCCATTTTATACTATGAGGCATTATGATGTCTTTGGGTGATGTGTTAGCTTATTTATGAGGCCAAACTTGGGATAAACTATCCTGAAAATCTGCCTTTTTAAAATCTGTCTCTTGATAGCTGTTTTACCCAAAGGATGGTCTTGTTAACTCTTATGCGCTTCTGGTTCCTCACCTATAAAAACTACTAATGATCAATCACAGCCTCCCAAGATTTAGGATAAAAAGCTCTGCATCAAAGTGCTCTGTAAAGTCAAATGCATGATGCAAACTGTATTGTATCTTGGCTGTGGTGGTACTGTTAGTTTCCTGGAGACAGCTGTTTACCCTACAGAGTAAGCAGTATCCCTGGCTCTTGGGTATCATTTGCCTTTCGTGTGGAGGTGGGATGAGGCGGGGGTGTGAGGGGCACTCAGTAAAGGCGTTTCCCACGCTGATTCTCCCTGCTTACCACCAGGTCTGTCAGGAGCCGGTCTCCTAGCCCTTCCTCTCGCAGCCGCAGCCACAGTCGTAGCCGGCCCGCCAGTCTTGCGACCAGCCGGGCTGCCAGCCGGTCTGCCAGTCCCTCCACTACAGTTGCAAAAATTAGAACCCCGTCCCCCAATCGCTCTAAGCTGTCCAGCGTGGCGCGCAAGGCTGCGCTCCTGTCTCGGTTCAGCGACGCCTATTCCCAGGCCCGCCTGGATGCGCAGTGCCTCCTTAGGCGCTGCATAGACAAGGCTGAGACCGTGCAGCGGATCGTCTACATCGCCACTGTGGTAAGAGCGCGCGTGTGGGTGGGACTTCACAGGAGGCTCTAACGCAGGGTAAAACGAAGGGCACAGCTTAAAGGGACTTGTGGATTCTGGGATCACTGAAGGGGGCTCTCCTCTCTCTCCCTCTGTCTCCTTCCTTCCGTTTTCTTCTTCTTCTTTCTTTCACTTCTCTTTTCATTACATATATTTGGAATGAAGTGTTTTCACATTCAATAACTATCTATACATATTAATATGTATCTTGATCTATATTAATATGTATCTTGGCTATATTGGCGTGAATGGCCATTATTCATTTGGTTTCCATCAGTTCTTACAAAAATCTGAAGGTTGTGTTTGTGTTAACTGTACTGGTTAAGCACTCAACTATTAGCTGAAAGGTTGGTGGTTCGAACTCATCAAGAAATGCCTAGGGAGACAAGCCGGGTCATCTGCTCCCAAAAGGTGACATCCTTGAAAATTCTATGATGTAGCTGTCTTCTGCAGCACATGGGGTTACCAGGAGTCAGAATTGACCTGGTGCAGCTAAGAAGAGCAGCAGTTACTAAAACTGCCAACAAATCAACTACTGAATAGGAAAAGTTAAACAGTGTATATTGGTTACTAGTTGGGCTGCTAACCTCAAAGCCAGCAGTTCCAAACTACCAGCTGTTCCACGGGAGAAGATGAGACTTTCTGCTCCTGTAAAGATAGACATACAGCCTTGAAAACCCTGTACAGGGTCGCTACGAGTTGAAACCAACTCTACAGCGCATAACCACCACCATCATGTATAATCCTTAATTCCAAGGCAAATAGGTTCTTTTTTCTATAGCTGTTGGAGAATCACTGGACTGTGAGCCACAAGGTCTGTGGTTCAAGCCTACAAGTGGCTCCTTGGGAGAAAGATGATACTTTCTGCTTCCACAAAGATTTTAAAAGTCTCAGAGACCCTATACAGGGTCACTGTGAGTCAAAACTGACTTGAAGGCACTTAACAACAACAACCGTAATGAGATACCAAAAGTCCATTATGGAGATAGTTTTATATTTATTTTTTAAAAAGTTATGAAAGCAGAATGATCAGAATCTACTGAATTTTATCTAGTATTTTACTCAGTGGGTCATATCTAGCCCCTGCCTGCTTTCCCACCATCTGAGAACTAAGGACATTTTCTTTTTTAGAGTTGTAAAAAACAAAAAAGAGTATGCAACAGAAACTGTATTTGGCCTGCAAAACCTAAAATATTTCCTATTTGACTTTTTACAGAAAAATTCACCAACCTCTGACCTAGATATCACTTAGTGAGTTGGTTAAAACTCTGCAAGGGTAGACATCATGTCTTTCATGCATAAGTGGAGTTTTCCCAATTCTTACTATACAATAAATATTTAATTTACATACAATAAATCTATCAAGGAAGTGAAGCGGCATTGGAGGCATTCATTCATCTATGTCAAGAAATTTGGAAGACAACTATCTGGCCAACTGATTGGAAGAGATCCGTATTTGTGCCCATTCCAAAAAGAGGTGACCCAACAGAATGAGGAAATCATTGGACAATCTCTTTGATATCCCTTGAGAGTAAAGTTTTACTAAAGGTAATACAGAAATGGCTGCAAGCATACATTGACAGAGAACTTCCAGAGGTTCAAGCTGAATTCAGAAGAGGCTGTGGAATGAGGGATAGCATTGCTGACATCAGATGACTCTTGGCTGAAAGCAGTGAATACCAGAAAGATTTACCTATGCTTTATTGACTACACAGAGGCCTTCGATTGTGTGGATCATGATAAGCTATGGACAACATTGTGAAGCATGAGTATTCCGGAACACTTAATTGTGCTCATGAGGAATCTGTACACAGACTAAGAGACAGTTGTTCGAACAGAACATGGGAACACTGACTGGGTTAAAATTAGGAGAGGTGTGTGACAAGGATGTTTTCTTTCACCATAATTATTCAACCTGTATGCTGAGCACATCATCCAAGAAACTGGGTTATATGAAGAGAAACATGGCATCAAGATTGGAGGAAGATGCATTAACAACCTGCGATATGTAGATGATACAACCTTGCTTGCTGAAAGTGAAGAGGACTTAAAATACTTACTGATGAAGATCAAAGACTACAGCTTTCAGTAATGATTGCATCTCAATGTAAAGAAAACAAAAAATCCTCACAACACTGGACCAATAACATTCTTATCAATGGAGAAAAGATTGATGTTGTCAAATACTTCATTTTTCTTGGATCAACCATCAACACTCGTGGAAGCACCAGCAGCGAAATCAAACAATGTATTGCATTAGGCAAATCTGCTGCACAAGACCTTTTTAAAGTGTTAAAGTGCAAAGATGTCAGCTTGAGGCCTAAGGTACACCTGACCCAAGCCATGGTATTTTCATTAACCTCATATGCATGCGAAGAGAAGAATTGATGCTTTTGAATTATGGTGTTGTATGCGAAAGCTGGACAGTGAATAAGAAAGATCGTAGAATTGATGCCTTTGAGTTGTGGTGTTAGAGGAGAATACTAAAAGTGCCATGGACTGCTAAAAGAACCAATAGATCTGTTTTGGAAGAAGTGCAGCCAGAGTGCTCCTTGGAGGCCAGGATGGCTAAGCTTCGTCTCTCTTACTTTGGACATATTGTCCGGAGGATGTCATTCTGGATAAGGTGGAGGGTCAGAGAAAAAGAGGAAGACCCCTAACGAGATGGATTGGCCAGGTGGCATCATTGATGGACTCAAGTGTGGCAGAGGTAGTGAGGTTGGCCCAGGATTGGACATTGTTTCGTTCTGCTGTGCATGGGGTCGCTATGAGTTGGTTCCGATTCGATGGCACCTGACAATAACAACAAAGAGAATATTGGAAGTACCATGGGTTGCCAAAAGAACCAACAGATCTGTGTTGGAAAAAGTGCAGCCAGAGTGCTTCTTGGAGGTCAAGATGGCCAGACTTCGTCTCTCATACTTCGAACATATTGTCAGGAGGGACCAGCCGCTGGAGAGGGATATCATGTATGATAAGGTGGAGGCTCAGAGAAAGAGGAAGACCCCTAGAGTGAGATGGATTGGAAAAGTGGCAGCATCAGTGGGTTCCAGTCTGGCAACAATTGTGAGGTTTGCCCAGGACAGTGCAGTGTTTCGTTCTGTTGTGCATACTATCACTGTGAGTTGGTACTGACTCATTGGCACATAACAACAACAACAACAAAACTATTCATTAAGGAGTCCTGGTGTGTCACCGTATGATAAGCACTGGACTGCAAGGTCGGTTTGGACCACAAGTTTGGAGGTTGAAACTCACCTATACAGGGTTGCTATGATTCAGGACCGACCAGACGACATTTAGCAACAGCAATAACAAAACTATACAATAAGCATTCAATAACTATTTGCTGAATTAATATGTCAGAATACAGAATTTTTCTATATGTTTATGGTGGTGGTTTGTGGTTATGTGTCGCAGAGTCGATCCCTACTCATAGCGACCCTACATAGGGTTTCCAAAGCTGTAAATCTTATGGGAGCAGAAAGCTTCTTATTCTCCTGCTGATCTGCTTGTTGATTCAAACTGCTGACCTTGTGGGTAGCCATCCAACTCACAACCCACTGCACTATAAAATAGGTAAACACAAACCTTTCCTCTTGTTTCTTTACTGGTAATATTGCTATGGGTTCATAGCATCACCTAGCAGTTTTAAATATCTGTGTAAGAGCAGATGGCTTGTTTCTTAGAACTCCACTGGATAGTCACATATGAGGAAGCTTTAAAAGCTGTAGAATTAAATACAGTGAAATTTTCCCATGAACTTTTGGAAGCTCCCTCATGTATATTTATGCATGTTTCAAAATTTTAGAGATATGTTTTCTATAGATTAGAAATATTTTCTACCAACTGTGTTTGGCTATCAGAAGACAGATAAGGTGTGGCCTTTTTGGGCAGCTTTCTAATTCTTTGCTTTGGATTTCTTTATCCTTCGCCTGTTGAATCAATGTACTACGTTTTTATGTGTAGGAGGCATTCCATGTGGCTAAAATGGCATTCAGACACTTCAAGATCCGTGTGAGAAAAACGTTGACTCCATCTTACTCAGGGTCAAATAACTTTGAAGATGTTGTCTCAGATTATATCGTTTGCCATCTCGATCTATATGATGCCCAAAGCAGTGTAAATGTAAGTGCTGAGTCTTTTTATGGGAACTGGTTTGCTGATGATACTCTACATTGAATACTGATAGCTCAGAAATCTATTCAGTATTTAGCATTGCTTCTATGTAATGGAAAACCAGAAATGAACAGTATCCAATTCACTTTGTAGTGCCAGCCATTATTAGCATTTTATTTCTTAGACATAGTATGGGAAATGAATGCTCTGACTGTAGTTCTATACTGTTTTAGATAAGCCTTTAAGGATGTTGCTAAGTGCCATTGAGTCCATTCCGACTCATAGCGACCCTGTTTACGAGGAGCGGCTGATGAGCTTGAACTGCCAACCTTGTTGCTCAAACCAACCATGCAGTCCAGTGCATTAACTCACAGCGCCACAAATAAAATCACAGTGTTTCAGAGCAATGGCTTTGGAAAGGATTGGATGGATTAATTTCCTGGTTCTGCCATTGATGAGCTGTGTACTTTGCATATTTACTTAGCTTCTCTGTGCTTTAGTTTCCTCATTTTTAAATGGGAATGGCAATAGGCATTAACCTAGTCTTTCATTTTGATCTTAAATGAAAGAAGGCAGGCAATTTGCTTAATAAAAATGTGGAGACATAGTAAACACTAAGGGACTTCTGGTGTGGTGCCATAGAATAAGCACTTGACCTCAGGGTTGATTTGAACCGCAAGGTCGGTGGTTCAAACTCAACTGCTGCCCCTCAGAAATCCTATACAGGGTCACTAAGAGTCGGAACTGACTCGACGGCACTTAACAACAACAAATAAACAACACTCAATAAAAACAAGCTATTATGATAATAATTATGGATTATGAACAGGTCAGTTCTGTGTTGGCACAGAATACAAATAGAAAAATAATGGAAACAATAAATAAAAGTGCTGAAGGTCTTGTCCTTAGATTTGGGGAAGAAGGTCTCTTTCCATTTGTACCCTGTGTCATTTGTCCTTATCTATTAATCAGGGATACAGTCTTTCTCCATTGAGTCCATGTACTGCTCTTCTGCTTTAACTATATTCATCTATGTACTCTTTCCCCACTTTCCTTCCATCACTACATCTTTAGGACATTAAAACATTAGCGTTAAGTTGATAACAAGGTGATATCGTCTTTTTGTTTTTCAGGATGTAATCCGAGCCATGAACGTCAACCCCAAGATCTCCTTCCCTCCTGAAGTTGACTTTTGCCTTCTCAGTGACTTCATCCAGGAGATATGCTGCATTGCCTTTGCAATGCAGACCTTGGACCCACCCCTCGATATTGCATTTGGGGCCGATGGAGAAATTTTCAATGATTGCAAGTAAGAGACACCAGGAGCAGAAGTAAAGGGATTCCTTGTTTCCTGGGGTCTATTTAGGGGAAAGTGCACTAGTAGGGAAATCAACAGCCACCATCTGATTTCCAGACCTACCATATACTTCTCCATACTATGAGGTAGAACTGTCTTTCAGGGTTATTTGCCTTCTCAGGAAACTGCAAATCAGAGGTCATGCTATGATTTCTTAGTGGAAATATTGATCTTTAGGGAAGACTTATAACGATTTGGAGCCTGGTTAGAGCACTTCTAAAGAAAAGTGCTATAAAATACAAAAGCTTGTAACTTTTTCATGCATCATCCAGGCCAACTTTCTCATAGCAAGGTGTGTGGATCACCGAATTCAGAATTACTAAGGATGTTTGCTGAAACTACAGACTTGTGAACCTCACTCCATGATATTTTATGTAGTAGGTCTGGAGTGGGACTTAGAAATCTATAATTTAACAAGTTCCCAGGTGTTCCTGAGGTTTGAGCATTATTGCACTACTTTTCATCTAGGATCATTGGTTTCTACCAAAGTTTTATATGGTCAATCTCGCTCTTAAAATTAGAAGAAATGAAATCATTTATAAATATTTTGTTGAGATTTTCATGATATGGTATAGTCAAGCATTTTCTGGGAAGAGGCCAAGCTAGTGATTAAGAACACAGACTCTGGTGTCAAGCTTCCTAGGCTTGATTCCTGGCTCTAGCACTATTAGCAGAGTACTCTTGGGCTGTTTGATTTTTCTGTACCTTAGTTTCTTTCCTGCCACACTGTTTCCTACGACTGTAGAAGGTTAGATGAGGTCATTCGGATGAAGCACTTAGAATGCGCCCTGCCATGCAGTGAGCAAGGAAACATTAGCTCCAGGTCTTTGTTCAGCCTGTAGAGTTATGGTTTGGTGGCAGCCCAACATCCCTAAAAGCTTATTGATGACAGAGACCATAGATCTTTCACTTATGCAAATGAAAGCAATGATGTTGTTGGTTGCTAGTTGATCTCAAGTTTGCTAGGACTCCTGGTCACCTCCTGGGGTCCTGCACTATCTGTTGTTGTTAAGTTCTGTCAAGTCAGTCCCAATTTGTAGCGACCTTGTATAAGGTTTTCAAGGAGCTACTGTTGAGTTTGAACCACCGATCTTGCCATTCAAACGTACCTTATGGTCTAGTGCGTCTCCTACACCAGGACTCTGATTATTGGTATAGTCAGACTCATTATTTTGGCCACTTTGTATTTTTTTGTGTGGCTGTGGGAAGAATCATCTCTTTATTTTTAGAACAATAGGTGGCCTTCTAATGGCTGGAATGTACTTCCACCTGTGGGGGAGGAAAGGCAGTATCTGGTCCCACTTAGGATGTGTTTCAGGAAGCTTTCTAGTTGATACAGCCATTGCTGTCCTCATGTCCTTCCAGAACAGTCTCCACCTCCTCCTCTGTCATCTTCTCCCCCAGGGTGGTGAGGAGGTGTCTAGCTCTGCTCCCATGACTTTGCCATTCCCTCCTTGTCAAACACCAAAGCCTCTCCAAATAGTCCTCATATGTGCCTTGGACCTGGTTCTTGGCTACTATCTGAAGCATGGCTAGGAAAGTCTCAAAATCCACACACCAGGACTTCAGCTCATCAGTCTTGGTATTCCCCAGGATCTTGAGACCTCGGTGTTGGTGGGGTTCTGGCCCAGGACCCTCAAATCCCCACACTGACTGTACAGGTTCTTGCCATCACTGATTAGGCCAAACAGCTCAAAAAGCTCCTTGAACTCCTCCGGCTGATCCTTGTTAAGCTTGATCACTACTTTGGAGCGATTGATGTGGGATGCCTTGGGCTTTCCAGGGACTAGGGAAGCAGTTGATTTAGCCTTGGTCTTGGATGGAAGCACCCCTGCTCCTGGATTGGCAGCAGGATTTGAGGTAGAGGACCTTGCTGGCTTCTTCACAGGAACATCCTTCTTGGGAGGCATGATGTCCAGTAGTCAAAGGATGGTGTGTCAATTGGTACACCCATTTCTGCTTCCAGCAGCAAGGTTGTGCCACCTGCATATTGTTTTTGTCAATGAGTCTTTCTGCATTTCTGATGCCACATTCTTTATATTACCAGCTTCTCGGGTTCTTTGCATACAGATTGAATACTGTGAAAGGACCCAACCCTGATGCACACCATTCTTGGTTTTGAACTATTCCATATTCCCTTGTTCTGTTCTGATCACTGCCTCTTGGTCTATGTACAGGTTCCTCATGAATACAATTAAGTGTTCTGAAATACTAATTCTTCCCCACAGTTTGTTAAGATCCACACAAGTCGAATGCCTTTGCATAGTCAATAAAGAAAAATTAAGTCATTGAAAATCCTGTGAAGCACAGTTCTCCTCTTGCACACACGGGGTCTCCATGAGTCGGTGTAAACTTCAGGGCAACTGAATACTGGTTATAGTCTTCTTATTTGTCTATAAAAATCTCATGAGAAATCTCATAGGAAACCTTGGGTTGAGGGTGCTATAGCTCTAGCATTTCCCTGAATTTTAATTTATGTTAACCTCAGAAGAAAAGGTAGAGGATTAATCTGACATGACTTGTCACAACTTAGCGATCCATGCTGAGTCCATGTTACTGGTTCATGAAGAGCCACAATCATCTATGTAATAACAGAATCAGGACCCCACCCAACTACCTGGATATGAAATTGCCTTGCCCTCCCTGCACCCCAAATGATACCTAATGGCTTAACGTCTCCTTCTTCTTCTTTTGTGTGTTTAAAACAGGTACCGCCGCAGCTATGACTCGGATTTCACCGCTCCCTTGGTCTTCTACCATGTGTGGCCTGCTCTCATGGAGAATGATTGTGTTATTATGAAGGGAGAAGCTGTGACCAGGAGAGGGGCTTTAGTACGGTGGCCTTGCATAGTGACCATTCATTCCAAGTGTTTCCTTCACAAGTTCGAGAACATTTATAAACCCAGAGATTCTATAAAAGAAGTCTATAAAGAGCTGACTGTTAAGATTCCATACAAAGGGGAGGAAGTGTGGCACTAGGGTCTGGTTCAGAAAGAAAGCTCTTGTTTTATGTATTTATTTTTCTTTTTGACTCTTTATAAGCAGTAATTGCTTTGCCTGTTTATTTATAAGATTGAACTAGTCATATTTGCCTCCTCCATCTTAAGAAGCAAAACAAGAACAATTTTATAAGGGAAAGTCCTTTGAATTCATTTTATTGGAGGTCCTTTATAGTTCTAAGCATTTGAAAATGATCAGTTAACTTTCTGGAAACATTTTGCTAAATTCTTACTGAAAATTCTCCATTATTGGAAACTTTGTATGTGCCCTGTGTTTCTCTCCTTTGTATGTGTGGGGAGGAGAGGGGTGGAGAAAGAATGGACAAAGGAGGTGGGGAAAGGGGTGTGAACCAGTTTGGAAGGTGACTTCCTATGTATAGTGGTGGGAGAAAGTATTGAACATGTGCTTAGTTTCAGGAATTGGACAGCCGTCAAACTTAAGTCTTAGGTACTTAAATGGGTGCATGTGCACACACTGGTGCGCATGCCTAGATGCGGATTTGGTGTTGGAACTGGTGGCTGCCACGGGTGCACATTCTGTATAGTACAACTTACACAGTCTTCACCCCTGCCATTCCTGGAAAGAGTGAAGCAGATTCTGAAGTGAAGCTCTTTAGAGCAATGCCACCATCAGGGTGGTCTTTCTCCCTGGTCTCATTGAACCAGAGAATAGAGGAGATGTTTCTTGGTAGCTTTTTACACATAAAGAAGGGGACTTGTTATTTAAAAAATAACTTAAGAGTTTTTGCAGGTTAAAAAATCCCATTACAGTGAATACTATCTCAATAAAGTGCTCTGTGTTGTGAAAGTTGAGCTCGTAGAAATTGATTTCTGTTGAGCTGACAACCACGTATCCACTACAGTGAACAATCTCATAAAGCATTATTTTTCACCCGATAGCAATCAATCTCAGTTAAGAAAACTTTTTATATTGACTGCAGGGTAGTTTTGACTAGAGGGAGAAGAATAGCTATTATTTATTTATTTTTTTTATTGTGAATTGAGTGAAGGTTTACAGACCAGATCACCAGTTTTACATTCAAGAAATCATGCATTTTGTTTCATCTGAATGACTGCAATCTCTTCCATGCAGCCATTATCCAGCCTCCTCCCTGAGGTTCCTATTTGTATTTCACCCATCTTTCCATCCCTTCTCAACTTTGTCCTTAAGAAAATGTTGCCTTTTTTGATTTTGAATGACTGACCATTCCATGGTGAACATACCTTATTAATGATTTTTGTCCTTGCTATGTACCTATCTTCAGATGATCTCTAAATTCAGGTGGGATATATTCAAGGTCATATTTTGGCTCTTGTGGACTTGTTTTCATATTCTTCAGCTTCAGTTTGAATTTGCATATGAGCAACTGATGGTCTGTTCTACAATCTGCCCCTGGCCTTGTTTTGACTGATGATATAGAGCTTTCCCATTGTTTCTTCCCACAGATGTAGTCAGTTTGATTTCTATGTATTCTATTTGGTGAGGGCTGTCTAAAGAAGGTATTTGAAATGAACAAATCATTGATTTTGCAGAATTCTATCATGTGATCTCCACCATCATTTCTATCACCAAGGCCCTATTTTCCAACTACTGATCCTTCCTCTTCACTCCCAACCTTTACATTCTAACACCAGTAATGATCAATACATCTTGATTGCATGTTTGATCAATTTCAGATTGAAGAAGTTGGTAGAATTTCTCTATTTCATCCTCACTGGATTTACTAATTGGTGTGTATTTTTGAATAATAGTGATATTAACTGGGCTTCCCTGTAGGTGCATGGATATTATTCCATCACAGTCAGCATTGTACCTCATGACTGATCTGGATATGTTGTTTTTGACAATGAAAGCAACAGCGTTCCTCTTCATTTTGTCATTCCTGGCATAGTAAACCATGTGGTTGTCAGATTCAAAATGGCCAATACCAGTCCATTTCAGCTCACTAATGCCTAAGATATCGATGTTTATGTGTTCCATTTCATTTTTGACAACTTCCAATTTTCCTAGCTTCATACTTTGGACATTCCATGTTCTGATTATTAATGGATATTTACAGCTGTTTGTCTTCATTTTGAGATGTGCCCCATCAGCAAATGAAGTTCCCTGGGTTTTACTTCCACAGGCTTTATTTACTCTATTCGTGTTATCATTGTCAACTCTACTTTGAGGATGCAGCTCTTCCCCAGTAGCATTTTGAGTGCCTTCCAACCTGATGGGCTGATTTTCTGGCACTCTATCTGACAGTGTTTCTCTGGTATTCATAAGGTTTTCAGTGACTAAATATTTGGAAGTGATTCATCACTCCTTCTTTCTAGTCTGTCTTCATCTGGAAGCTCATCTGAAACCTGTCCACCATGTGTGATCCTGCTGGTATTTAAAATACCCGTGGCATAGGTTCCAGAATCACAGCAACTCACAAGCCACCACAGTATGACAGACTGACAGATGAGTGGTGAATATATCCCACCTGAATTTAGAGATCATCGGAAGAACAGATTTGGTACATTAAACACTAAAGGCAGAAGACAAAAAGAGTTGTGGGATGACATCAAGAACATCATACGTGAAGAGAGCAAAAAGTCATTAAGAAGACAAGAAAGAAGGAAAAGATCAAAGTAGATGTCAGAAGAGACACTGAAACTTGCTCTCCAGTATAGAGATGCTAAAGCAAATGGAATAAATGATGAGGTACAAGAACTACAGAAATGGAATAAATGGAATAAATGATGAGGTACAGAAAATTTCAAAGATCATCTAGAGAAGACAAAGCCAAATATTACAACAAAATGTGCTAAGATCTGGAGTCAGAAAACCAAAAAAGAAGAACACACTCAGCATGTTTCAAGCTGGGGGAACCGAAGAAAAAATTCAAGCCTCGACTTTTGTTATTGATAGATTCTTTGGCCAAATTATTGAATGATGCAGAAAGCATCAAAAGAAGATGGAAGGAATACACAGAGTCACTGTACCAAAAGGAAATGGTTAATGTTCAACCATTTCAAGAG